CATTAGTGCGAAGTATTTTGACATGTGGGGCTGAATATTAAATTATAAACAAGAAAAACAGCAGTAAGACAGTAACAATAGAAATGAAATGCCTGTGAAGATGCTTCTTCTTCTTTATGTTCCATCTTCTATCGAAGGTTGGAAATCATCATGGCTATGCGGACTCTATTGACTGCCGCTCTAAAAAGTTCTGCACTACTGCATTCAAACCATTCCCTTAAGTTCTTAAGCCAGGATATTCTTCGTCTTCCCACATTTCGCTTTCCACGGATTTTGCCCTGCATAATAAGTTGTAATAATGCGTATTTTTGCCCTCTCATCACATGTCCCAAGTACTCGTCTTTTAATAGTTAATATTATATAATATTATTAGTTAATATTATTTCCGCCTCATTTCCTATCCTTCTAGTTACTTCCATGTTTGACATTCTTTGAATCCATGATATTCGTAGGATTCTTCTGTAACACCAAAATTCAAAGGCGGCCAGCTTATTCAGATGAACTTGTTTTAGTGTCCAAGCTTCCAGACCATAAAGAAGAGTAGAGAACACGTAACAATGAAGCATTCTCAGGCGTAGTTCTAACTTTATATCCCGACAACAAAGAAACTTTTTAAGTTTAATAAATGATGCTATTTCAATACGTGTCTTAATTTCTTTGGTTTGGTCTACATCTGATGTTATCCATGTTCCTAAATATTTATAGTTATTAACATTCTCAATTGCAGTATCTTCAATAGTCAATTGGATATTTGCATGTGCAGATTTAGTCATGATCATGCATTTAGTTTTCTTTAAATTTATCTTCAGTCCGTACTCATGACAGCGTTCATTAAGGCGTTGCATTAGGTTCTGTAAATCATTGTTGTTATTCGTAATTATTACTGTATCGCCTGCGAAACGTAAGTTATTCAAAACTTCTCCATTGATAGATATACCTTCTATTGAGTCTGAGAGCGCTTCTTGAAATACCGCTTCACTGTAGACATTGAAAAGTAGTGGGGACAGCACGCAAACCTGGCGGACTCCTCTCTGTATTTTGATATTTTAGGTGTACTGGCTGTCAACTCTTACCTTGGCAGTTTGATTCCAATATAAATTAGATATAATTTTCAGATCACGACTGTCAATATTTTTGCTTTTTAATATATCTACAAGCTTTTTATGTTGAACTTTATCAAATGCCTTTTCAAAGTCTACAAAACATAAGTACACATCCTGATTCATGTCCATGCATCTCTGAGCCAGCACATTCAAGCCGAACAAAGCATCTCTTGTACTCATACCATTTCTAAAGCCAAATTGTGTGTCACTAATCTCATATTCAAGAGTTTTAACAATTCTGCTGTGAATTATTTTCAAAAATGTTTTAAGTGTGTGACTCATTAAAGCTATTGTTCTGTGGTCTGAGCAAGTTGTTGAACTTGGTTTTTTGTGAATTGCTACAAAGGTTGATTGCAGCCATTGTCTGGGTATTGTGGCAGTATGATATATTAGATTAAAGAGTTCAACCATTACATCAATAACATCTTCATCGATGAGTTTTAATAATTCGATGGGCACCTCATCTGGTCCAGTAGATTTACCCTCTTTTGTGTTTTTGATGGCATAGATGACTTCTTCTCTTAATATTGGTGGTCCAGTATCCTCGGTGATTTCTAATGACAGTTCTTCTCTTTCATCATTAAATAGTTGTTGAATGTAATTGGTCCAGTGACATAATCTCTCCTCCATATCAGTAATAATATCCCCTTTATCATTTTTAAGGATATTCGTTTTTGTACGCTTTCTAGAACCTGTCATGTCTTTGATTTTTTTGTGTAAATTAAAGCTATCGTACTTTTTATCTAGATCTTCTATTTCCTTGCATCTATCGGAGAGCCACCTCTCTTTTGCCTCTCGAATTTTCTTTCTGATGTTTCTCTGAATTTCTTTGTATTTATTCAGGTCTTTTGCTTTATGTTTTCTTCGTTCTTCCATGAGTTCAAGAATTTCTACTGTCATCCAAGGTTTTGTTTTTTCTTTAAGTGGTTTGAGGGTTTCTTTTCCAACTGACACACGGGCATGTTGAATTTTTCCCCATTTTTGGTCAATAGTTAGAGTTTCTGCATTATCTTCTTTGACTTTCCTTAAGCTCTCGTTTATTTTAAATTTGGTTTCCACATATGTGTTGTCTTGGTTGTGGTCGGAGGATATGTCCGCTCCTGGATAAGTTTTAGATGATAATATAGAATTTCTATATCTTCTGTTGACGATAATATAATCTATTTGATTTCTGACTATTTTGTTGTTATTGTCAGCTGGTGACCTCCATGTATATAGTCTACGTTTAGGAAGTTTGAACAAGGTATTTGTAATTATGAGTTCCTCATTGACACAGAAATCGACAAGCCTATCGCCACGTTCATTCCTTTCCCCGAGTCCATATCGTCCCACGCAATTCTCCACTTCTCCTTGGCCAACTTTAGCATTCAAATCGCCCATTATAATATTTATATCTTGTCTTTTAGTTAGTCTTAAGACATTGTCGATTTGTTCATAGAAGGCCTCTATGGTGTCTTCATCCTTGTCTGCAGTGGGTGCATATACTTGGATTATATTTATTTTACGTTTTAAATGAGAGTTTAGAGACAGCATTAATACTCGATCAGAGTAGGGAACAAAGTTACAGACAGCTTTACGAGAATTATTATCAACTATAATGCCAACTCCCCGTTTGTGCTTGGAATCGTTGTTTCCAGAATAATACATCGTTCCATTTCTGGTCTTACATTTTCCTGATTCAGGCCATTGTATATCGCTAAGGCCCAGTATATTGATTTTCATTCTGCACATTTCCGACACAGCATTATCCAGTTTGCCTGATTGGTATAAACTTCTTACGTTCCATGTTCCGATTTTCAAGGCTATAGAGTTATTTGACAGGGATTTACCTTGTTGACGACCTGAGAGGCCCTGTCGTCTAAATCTGATTGTCCTCCCCTGCCGGATCTTGGATTCCGAGCTCCATGATCATTAAGTAAATTATCCATTAGTCGGTCCATGATGATTTTTACTAAGGATATCCTTACGGATCTTTAATGTGGTAGTCATCCCCTGGCTTTCCACATCTCAATGCCGTTGACTAATTTAGTTCTTCCGCCTTCGGAGTTAATTTCTATGCTCCAGGGCAATGAAGTGCCCTACCACGTGTCGGTTCTTCCACCCTTAGCTGTTGACCAACAGGTGGGGGATTACTTATACCGGTAATCGTTCGGTTAGTTTAGCAGCTCTAGTATCCAATAATATACCGATCCAGGATCATTTCCCTTACGCTTTATCTTGGTACTGATGCTACTGTCTGACAGAGTAGGATATAGGAATGGAAACTTTGGTAATTAGATGGGAGAATGGGTTCAGGACATAATTTCTCCCAGGTACCAGGAAATTGGGAGATAATTATGGCTCACGTGGGCAGGGTCGCATCCCTGAAGTAGATCTATCTTCTACCGGGAACGTAAAAGAGTATCTACCCGATACCCGCGGGTAGCGGGTAGATACTAAGAGTATATCTACCTGTGAAGATGCTGCAGAGTATCAATAATGGATGGGAGAAGTAATAACGAAATAAAGCAAAGAACATCAATAAAAACAGACCTACTAACATATAGAGAATAAAAAAGACTATAGTGATATGGCCATGTAAGAAAAACTAGCGACAACAGATCGATAAAGAGAATAACCGAATGGAGTCCCATAGGAAGTAGGAAAAGAGGACGACCTCGAAGATCCTGGAGAAACGAAGTAGACGACGTATGAGTACGTCTTACTCCATGAGTAAGACTGGACGATGGAGAATGGGACAACAGAGAAAGATGAAATATATATATATATAATATATATATATATATATATATATATATATATATATATATATAGCTTTTTTCCATGGACATCGTGTATCGTGCTGATGGTCGGTTGTTGGTGAGAGTGCGTGCACACAGATTACTAGCTATTCGCAAGCGATGACGGCGTTATTGTTTCTCTTAAAAAAAATGTAGCACATATTTTTTATACCGTGAGGATTACACAGGTGTGATCCTATTCACCATACTTAATCTTCTTAAATCAAATTTTTACTAAAGGGGAATTTTTATCTTCTCCGCAACCAGTTCTGTTGTCGTAACCAATATTTTTGGTAAGAGTAAGAATCATGTCCAAGCAGTGTCTCTCGTGAAGTAGTCATGGCTGTGGCTTCGGGTCCCGTGACTACTTTTTTTATCGGCAGGATAATCATTCATTTCGTAAGCCGGTCTTGATTGACTATCAGGAAAATATTTGTAATTGTAGATTTTGAAAATGGTCCCATTAAATCAATTGAGAAGCTTTTCTACAGTGGATGGTTGCATTTGTTCTGCTAGTTGTACCTGCGACGGTTTATACTATACGAATTTTCTACAGATTCTGACATAGTATTTTTGTGCAATTACTAACATTAAATATTTTTCTCATGATTATTTGATTATGTAATCTGTCCCTGATGAAATGAGCTTTGTTTTCTTAAATCATTGGAGCCATTAAATTTGTTACATTTTAAAGTATAGCAAACATTTCCTTTTCTATCTACCACTTGTTCATGTAAACCCAAATTTGGGTAAAGTTTTAAGGCAAATACGCAAAGTTTTCTCATTTTCATACAACAAACGATATCTATTTTTGTTGTCACATCAGAGTATTTTAGATATCCTATTAATAGATTATTTTCATTAGAAATCTTTGAGTCCTGGTGATACTATAAAATTACTTCTGCTTAAACAGTTTTAGATTTTGTCTCCCAAGCGTATCAACTAAACTTTGAGTAAATCATGCTTAAAGAAAGTCTTTTCAACCCCAAATAAACAATCTAAATTGACGTGTTAAATACGTTAGTTTCAATACCTATTCTAATAATATTTAAGACTCCTTCGTCTCTAACAAATTCTTGTTTGTTGACATTTATATAAGAAATAAAGACAGACTTACCTGTCACCTAATTTCATAAGCTCTACAGTAGGATCAGAGCCAGGGCTAAGAATAAATAACACCGGCATTAAAGGACTACTTTGGTCATAAATACTATCCAGACTAATAACAGGGGGCATGATGAATTCTTCGCCCATTATATTTGTAATATAATTTCCTACAGCTCTATATACTCGGTCTACCCGAAAACACCTACAACACAATAAATATAAGAGTCAAAAAATGATTCGTCAATTTTTATTTACCTGAGCAACATTAAAATGTGAAAATGTGGTAGTTTTTCCCTGTATTTGCATGGAAATTCTTCATCTTCTGGACTATCGTGATCGTACCATGTATGCCATTGTTCCATAAATTTTTCAATTTCTGATGGAAGTTCCCAAAATGAATCTGGAAAATCTGAAGATAGTTTCACAATGTTTTCCCAATTTTGCGGAGAGATCCATTGGGCTGGACATTCTCTGGTTGTTTTTTCTAGACTAACGGTACCCTAAAAATAAATATATGCAATAAAATAGAACTTTTTATAATAATAATACTTTTTTTTTAATGGCATAGACATTAGTCATTCAGTCAGTTGCAATAATTTTTCCAATCGTACAAATGCACAACTTTATCCCTAATAGAAAACTAAAACTAACGGATAATTAATAGAACAATATACGACAAGAAAACTTACAGGGTCACTTGCTTCTTCTCTAGGGGCCCATTAAGACAGTCTTACTAGACAAAAAAAAACTGGACCACGAATAAGGTGTTATAAGATTAAGGGTAAACAAAGGATAAAAATGTAAATTTCCACACGATCATGAAAAATTCCATGCTCGTGTACAAATTCTATAGAACCGTGCATGTGTCTGACAAGAAATCTATAATGATATTATATATTTGTTGTTAACCTGTAGCCAGTAGCGACTAGATATTGAATGGTGCATACATATTAAATTCGATTATTTTTTTGTAGAGAGAGTTTGAATGCTGTTGAAACTTAGGACATTCAAAACAGATGTGATCAAGATCGCCCAGTTTTCCGAAATGTTTGCAATTATTATCTTCAATCACGTTTATTTCATATAAATGACTTGGATAACACCCATGTCCAAAGCGTAGTCTATTTATGGTGGTTATATATTTACGTGGAGATTTAAAATTCTTAAACCAAATAGTTTGTGAAATATCTAGTTGTAAAGTGCTGTATCTTGTTTGGTTTGTAAAGCAGTAAAGATTCCATTGATCTTTACATGTCGATAGCTGTTTTTTTTAATCGTAATGGCATCTGATACACATAAAGAATGTAACAATAAAGTGCCTGATATTATATTGGTTTTGCTAAGTAATCTAATATAAAGTTTATTTGGGTTAAGGCACACATTTAACTCAAAGATAATGAATATGTAAAGTCAGAATCCTGCTAAGTGCTTTAATTGATCTTTGATTAGAAAAATATAAGGATTACTAAATGTTTTGGGCAAAAAAGTGTTTTTTATGTTTTGTAGAACTAAAAGACAGTCTGAAAGAATTAACGATTTTTTAATATAAGAGTTTTTAACATTATTCAAAGCTTCGAGTATGGCCAATGATTAAGCCGAGAAAATTATAAACTCATTGGAAAGTTTGTATTTAAATTCAGAACATCCTGAGGGTAGAAAATAGGCACAGCCAGTCCCTTCTATTGATTTAGATGCGTTCGTGTATATAACTGTGGCATCACTATAACAGTTCAAAACAGATCTTAGAATATTGTTGCTCAATTTGTTGTTGTCACTATATGTGGGTATTATAACTTCAGTTTTATTGAAGGGAGCAAAGAAGTCTAAATTTTTGTCCACTTTGGCCAAATTCTTTAAAACAATAGAATTGTTCTGTAAAGCAGTGCACAAAGGAGATGGATTTTTAATCCAATATTTGTGAGTGAGATCTGATTCGTAAAATTTACGTATACTGGAAAATAATTTGGGATTTGTTGAGTCAGCTTTGAGTACCCATTTTTTTCTTAATAAATTTCTTCTAATCGCAAGAGGAGGCTCATAAGCTTCAACATGTAGTAGTTGTATAGGGTAGATCCCATAGCACCTAAACAGACCCTTAAGGTAGAATTTTGAAATATGTCAATTTTTTTAAAAAGATTTCTAGACGCAGAACCATAAAGAGTAGCACCATAATCTATAATTAATAGTATATAAGCTTAGAAAAAAATAAGGATGTTTCAACATCGTAACCCCACCACACCTTAGTTGCCATGCTAAGAAAATTAATCCTTTGTTGCATCTATCCAGCATATATTGTATGTATTGTTTTCAAGTAAATTTTTTATTCAGTATAAGGCCCAGGTAGTGTACAGGGTTACGCAATTAAACTGTTACCAACTTCTCATAGATATATCTGACAAATCGATAATGACAGTTATGTCAAAGTTGGCCTGGTAACACTTCAGTATGTTTATAAGCCGTCAAAATCATTTGCATTTAAGTTATATGCATATAGGAAAAGTTATTCGCAATGGAATTTAAAAGCAATAGTGTGATTGCATTATATTTGGCTGGAAAATCACAACTAGCTATTATTCGTCTGCTCGAACACCTCAAAGTGAATAAAACACCACCACCGCCGCGGTGGTGAACAAAAAAAAACAGCAACATCACCTGAAATGGTTCGGAAAAAAATTCTCGACTTGAGCAAAATCCACGTCGAAGTGGTAATCAAATGGCCAAAGAACTGAAAATATCACAGCGAAGCATGCAACGAATATTGAAAAAGGAGCTCAAGGTCAAGCCTTCATCATCATCATCATTCAGCCCATACTCGTCCACTGCTGAACATAGGCCTCCCGTAGTTCACCCCACAAATTTCTGTCCTGAGCCGCCTGCATCCAATTTTGATGTGTCCGTTTCAGGTCATCCGTCCATCTTGTTGGTGGTCGTCCTCTATTCCTAAAGGCATCTTGTCTGGGTCTCCACTCAAGAATGCGTTTTGTCCATCTGCCGTCCTTCGTTCTCGCGACGTGCCCTGCCCAGTTCCATTTTAAGGTTGATATTCTTTTGATTGCGTCGGTTACTCCCGATCTACGGCGCAATTCTGTGTTGGGTATTCGGTCTCTCAGGGTTAATCCCAACATGGACCGTTCCATTGCCCTCTGTGTTGTTCGAATTTTGTTTGCGGACGTCTTAGTAAGTGTTAGCGTCTCCGCACCATAGGTTAGAACCGGCAGCACACATTGATCGAACACTTTTCTCTTCAAGCAGATGGGAAGATCTGATTGGAAAACATCTCTTAGCTTTCCATAAGCTGCCCATGTCAACCCTATTCTACGTATTAGTTCATTGGTCTGGTTATCTCTACTTAAGCGAATTTCGTGTCCCAGATATTTGTATGCTGATGTTTGTTCTATACTTGTTCCAGCTATGTTGATGTTCTCACTCAGAACAAGGTTTGTCATCACTTGTGTTTTTGAGTTATTGATCTTTAAACCCACTTGTGTAGAGGCATGGTAGAGTCTTTCGCACATTTCGATGGCATGATCTATGCGGTCTGTTATCAGGACTATATCGTCCGCGAACCTGAGGTGACTAAGCTGCTCTCCATTTATGTTTATGCCCTTTTCGTCTAGGTCTGCACGCTTACACATGTATTCCAATAATGTTGTAAACAGTTTTGGTGAAATGGTGTCGCCCTGGCGAAAGGTCAAGCCTTACAAGTTCCAAAAAGCACACAATCTTACATTAAAGCAAAAAAAGTTCGGCTTGAAAGAGCAAAGTTCCCTATTAAGCAGTTTATAAACTCTCAAAATAATCGTGTTTACTTGACCGAACACACAAACCGGGTTTGTAGATCATGGAACATTTCGGTTGTAGATCATGGACGTTCCAACAAGACTTGGCACCGTCTCATAAAGCTAGTGTAAACCATGAATGGTTAAAAAAGCATGTTCCACACTTCATCCACTTCATCCACACAATAGATTTCAAATTCGCCAGACGCAAATCCGATGGACTATTCCATCTGGTCCATTTTGGAGAGCAAGGTGAAGACTAAAGGAGAAAGCAATTATACGTGAGTAGGCCAAAATACCGGAAGATCACATTCGTGCAGCATGCAACTCGTTTTTTGAGCGTTTGAAGGCCATAGCCAAGGCAAAAAGTGGCCACATCGAGCTAAAGTGAGAAGTCACAAAATCGTGACGAAATATTGAGACATAAAAGGTTGCTGATACTATTAAACGATATATATATATATATATATATATATATATATATATATATATATATATATATATATAGTTATAGAGAGCACAAAATCGTTTGTAATCCCAGATGTCGCTGAAAAATATTTTAAAAATTCAATTTTTCGTAAACCCTTTCAAATTTCAACAGCACTTGGAACAAAACAGAAAAATTACTGTACTGAAATTCCCTTATCAAAAATTTTTAATAGTAAAAATAAAGTAAATTTAAGTTATTGCGTTTTTAAATTCCATGACTATTTTCACTGCTTATTAGGCCTTAATAATTTAAAAAAATTAAATGCAAATATTGATTTGGCCAATAACGTTTTAATTACTTCGCATAGTAAGATAAAATTAAATTATTATAAAGCCGGGAATAGTGGCAACACGAATTGTATAGTAGTGCCGCCACGAACGGAGCAAGTTATCAGTTTAAATGTTAGAAATATAAAAAGTGGTGATGTAATTATACCATATACACTAATCAGTAAATTAGAAATTCCGGAATCCCTTACGAAGGTAGAAAACAATAAGGCTATTTGCACGATTTTGAATTCTTCTGAATCTTATTTTAAATTGGATGTAACTTTCCCAATCATGGTGGAAAAGTTCGCTGAATACGAACAAATTTCAAATCCAAATTTTAATTCCATATATGCTGAAGAATTTAAATTTGATATTTCTAAAGTTCGAACAGATCATATGAATTTTGAGGAAATAAATTCAATATTAAAGTTAAAAAAAGAATATTCCGATATCTTCCATGTCGAAGGAAACCAATTAACTTTTACTAATAAAATTAAACATACAATAAAAACAACAAACTATATACCAGTATATTCAAAATCCTATAGATACCCGGAAATTTATAGGAAGGAAGTGCAAAATCAAATCCAGAATCTGCTGGATCAAGATATTATTAGACCTTCGGATTCCCCTTGGTCTTCTCCTATATGGGTGGTCCCAAAAAAAAATGGACGCCTCTAAAAAACCCAAGTTTAGAGTCGTAATAGATTATCGACGTCTTAATGATATCACACTTGGTGATAGATACCCTTTACCTAACATTAGTGACCTATTGGATAAACCTGGACGGTGTCAATACTTTACGACACTCGACCTCGCTTCAGGGTTCCATCAAATCAAGATGGATGAAAGCGACAATTAAAAAATTGCATTCAATACAGAAAATGGTCACTACGAATTTTTGCGAATGCCTTTCGGACTCCGTAACGACCCAGCAAGATTCCAACGGGTTATGGATAATA